ACAGGAATGGCTGTGGAAGAAGGGGTGAAAGGACTGTAAGAGCCAGAGTTGGTGGACGATGACAGGGAAATGGTGTCTTCTGGACACAGCAAGACAGCTCCTCATATGAACTCACCATGATCGTGACAGCATGTGTAAGACCTGTCAAGCTCAAGCTGGACTGAATACTAACATAAACAAGGGAGTTGAGAATGACAAGGATTAATGAACATGAATTTACAATCATGAGAAAACAAGGTTGTAGTCAGAGAGGAGAAAATGAGTTTTGTCTTGAATGAGATTAAAACTGACATCTGCACAGGACTATAGACAATGTTTTGTGTGATCAGTTCAGCCTGCATTTGTGGAGTCAGGGAGCAGAAAAGAATTATCTTTCAAGGGTTTATGTTCCTGTTTATTTGAACTCCTTCTCCATGTTCCCCCCTGTTTCCAAGCCCCACATTCTACTCCTTTATTGTTTTAAGACATTCCAGCATGTGCTGCCAAGGAATTAATACACAATGGAATGAAAAAAAGCTGATAGTTTCATTTTCTCTTTCTTCTTCTTGGAAATGCAAGAGATTCCCAAAAACAACAAGATCCGTGAGCTTTGACAATTGGCCAAAACACACTGAGCGGGAAGGGGCAGAAGTCAGCAGAGTGTATAAGTCCTGCAGAATTGCCTTAACCTGCTGCTTTCCATGGAAGAAGCAGAGGTGAGTGTCAAGTGAAGAGACTGGAGCACAGTGGAGCGTGGTTCCTGTAGCTAAACTACAGTGAGCAAATCCACTGGACACAGGATAATCTGGTAAGTGGAAAGCAGTGTTCAGATCTAACTTCTAACCCTCACCATATCTTTTCTCATAAGAGCTAATAGGTAACAAGACAGTGGGAACATGCCATGAGAGTGAGGGTTCTCAGTTTGGAAGCTAAGGAGCTTTGGTGGGAAGCAGACAGGACAGGCTTGTGGATAAAGTCTTAGCTAATTACTCAAGTTGAGGTAGACCTAAAGCCAATGACCTTGATATCGTTTTTTGGCAAAAACACAATCAGTTTTTCTGACTTGCCTCTTATTTTTTCTCCCTAAAATGGTTGTGGATAGATGATTCAGGTAATGGACTATTTCTGCAGTGTGTATGAGGGTTGTTGTATCTGAAACATAGTGAAAGGATGGTAAATAATAGAGGCAGGTACCTATTTACAATGTAAACATAAATCCTGAATCCTACCTGACTGACGCAGAACTTAGAGAAAGGTGATTAACAGCCATGTGGCTACTGGGTAGAGCACAAAGACATGGAAGCCATCACAAAGTACCAAGTCCTGAGATGAGAAGACAGTCTGAGATAACAGGGAGGCTGGAATTCAGACACCATCGGCTTCAAACATGTAATAATGGAGTTCAAAGGCGTGTTGTATGTAGTGAGTTCAAAGGTGTGTTGTATGTAGTGTGTACACTGTATACCTAGTGAATGATCCCTGACTGAAATAGGAATCCCTGTGGTGCCTCTCAGAATTGACTTGACATGGTATGACTTCAGTATCAATGGAATAACTGTGGCTGTTTGATCATCCATGTTGTTGCAAGAACAACCACAGGAAATATAGTAATGTTGGTGATATAATCAAATCTGAAATTGAGGAAGTCTTGAAGAAGATAATGTGGGAGGAATGATCAATTGTGATTGGATTTGGAAATAGACCTCTACTATACAAACTGATTTAATGTGGGTGAGACAGACAGAGGAGGCTCCATGGTGACAGTGAGGATTGTTGTTTTCTTTTTTCTGTTTTTTATTATTAAGAAATTTTCTATTCACTTTACATACCAACCACAGATCCCCCCATCTTCCCTCTTCCCATCCCCCAGCCTTACCCCAAGCCCCCCCCATCCCCACATTTCCCAAGTCAAGGTCTCCCATGGGGAGTCAGCAGAACCTGGCACACTCAGCTGAGGCAGGTCCAAGCCCTTCCCCGCTGTACCAAGGCTGTGCAAGATGTTTTCTTAACTGATGGTGAGGTCCATTGTGCTGCTATAGCAGATCTTGTAGGCAGGTTTGTGGAGAACAAAGGGCAGATATGTGAGAACTGAGCTAGTTAAATACCCAACAATCAAACTCAGGTCCTTAGGCCTCGCAGCAAGTGTATTTACCTACTGAGCCATCTTACTGGACTTGATATTCATTTTTTTTTGAGACAGGGTCTCAAGTAGCCCAGGCTAGCCTCTAACTCACTGTGTACCAAGAATGGCCTTGTAGTCCTTACCCTCTTACCTCTACTTCCTGAACACCAGAATTATGGGGATCTGCAAACACATGCATTTGATGAGGTGCTGGAGATTGAACCCAAGGCCTTATTCATGCTGGGAAAGCTCTCTCTACCAATTGACCAATATCTCCAATGCACAGTTAGATTGCTTTCATAATGTAAAATGTGTAACAGAAAACAGTGAATCTAAATGATGACTTGAGGACACCGAAATGTTGTATTGAAGAAATGGATTTTAATGTGACTTTAAGGGTAAAGATGTTCTTTTATTATTGCAAGTTTATATTCCTCTGGAGATGAGCTCCAAGTTATGAAAAAGACAGAAGGAAAGTAAATCTAGGAAAATTAAGAATCGTTTTATAAAAACACAATAGCTGTACTTACTGAAATCTTTTTGAAAACATAAATAAAATAGACAAAATAGATTTGTGTGATCATTAGAGATTTGACATTGATTAAACACTGATGTCAAGCACCATTCATTATTTTGATTTTTCAGCTTGAGAAACTAAATGTCTGTTCATTAAGTTTCCATTCTTTTGAAGGCACACACTGAAGGGAGTGTGCACAGATGGAGAAGACATTGAATTTCATATAAAATACTGCAGTCAGGTTAGATGCAACACAGTTGTTCATGTCTTTATAGTTGTTGATGCTGGCTAGAGGACTCTTGCAGTTTTTTTGCATTATTTTCCCTTACTTTACTTAAGTTTTAATTTTTCCATAATGAAGGCTTTAATTGAGAGCTAGTAGAAATTTGTTCTAGTTTCCTTTCTTTTTTTTCTATATTTTATTTTACATACCAACCAGAGATTCCCCTCACTCCTCTCCTCCAGTTCCCTACCCCCCTCCCTTCTACCAACCCCCCATCCACTCCTCCTCCCTCTCCATTCAGATGGGGTAAAGTCTCCCATGGGAATCAACAAAGCATGGCATATCAAGTTGCTGCAGGACTAAGCTCCCCCCCCCACCCCCGCTGCATCAAGACTGAACAAGGCCATAGGGAATAGGTCATGCATCAGGGACAGGTCCTGGGGGCCCCACAAAAGTCCAAGCTACATAACTGTCACCCAGATGCAGAGGGCCTAGGTCAATCCTATGCCAACTCCCTAGCTGTCTGTCCAGAGTCTGTGAGCTCCCACAAGTTCAGGTAAGCTGTCTCTGTGGGTTTTCCTGTCATGATCTTGATGCCCACTTGTTCATATAATCCACCCACCCTCTCTTCACCTGGACTCACAGAGCTTGGACCAGTGCTTGGCTGTGGATTTCTGCTTCTGCTTCCATCAGGTACTGGATGAAGGCCCTAAGATGACAATTAGGGTAGTCACCACTCTCATTACAGGGGAAGGCCAGTTCAGGCACCCTCTCCACTATTGCTAGGAGTCTTAGCTGGGGTCATCCTTGTGGTTTCCTGGGAGTTTGGCTGGCAACAGGCTCCTCCCGAATTCTATAATGGCCCCCTCAATCAAGATACCTTTTTTATTACTCTCCCCCTCCATTCGGCCCTAAACTAAACCATCCTGATCCCTCATGTTCCCATCTCCCCATCCACTCCCCTCTACCCCCCTTGCCCCCAGTTTACCCAGGACATCTTACCCATTTCCTCTGCACAGGAAAATCCATGTGTCCCTCTCAGGCTCCTTCTTGTCACCTATCTTCTCTGGGGCTGAGGATTGTAGTATGGTGATCCTTTGCTTTACATCTAGTATCCACTCATGAGTGACTACATACCATGTTTATCTTTCTGGTCTGGGTTACCTCACTCAGGATGATTTTTTTTCTAGTTCAATCCACCTGCCTGCAAATTTCATAATGTCATTTTTTCCCAATAAGTAATATTCCATTGTGTAGATATACCACATTTTCACTAATTTCCTTTCTATTGATTTTATGAACTCCATTATCAAAAGCATTTTGAAAAGAAAACAGTGTTTTAGGCTTACACACTCTGCTCACAGTCCATCACTGGGGGAAGTCAGGGCAGAAACTCTTCAGAAATACAGGCAGGAATAATGTAATATTATTGTTTACTGGCTTGCTCCCCATAGTTCAATGCTATGGAATGATCATTTTGTACACTTCAAAGATATGTCTTTGCAAGGCTGGTTTAATAAAAAGCTAAATAGCCACTATCTAAGCAGGAGAGATAGACAGGTCAGCCACATAGAGAACTCTGGGGGGAAGAAAGGCAGAGTCATCAGCAGATAAAAAGGAAGCAGCATGACAGTACAGAGTAAAGTTAACCAAGCCACACAAAAGAATGTAGACAAAAGATATGGGTTAATTTAAGTTGTGAGCTAGTTAGAAACAAGCCTAAGCTATCAGTCAAGCTTTTATAATTAATAATAAGTCTCCATGTCATAATTGGGGAGATGGCAGTCCCAACAAAAAAGTCCAACTACAGTTCATTAATGCTTTCTTAAATTACCCCGGACCACTGGCTTAGGGGTGTTCCACCCACAGTGAACTGGGACCACCCACATCAATCCTCAATATAGAAAATGCCCACATAGGCATGCCCCGAATTCACTCTAATGGAGGCACTTCCTCAAACGAGGTTTTCTCCTCCAAAAGGACAATGGTTTATATCTTGTTGACCAATAATAACTAGCACAACATAATTGGGAACTAGTCAACATCAGAACATAACTGAGGCTACAGCACAGAGAACACAGTGCTAAGCACAAAGGCGTCTTCAGTCTCATGCAACTCACTCTCCCTTCCTTCTTTCAGGGCCCATTTTCAACAAAGCCATGGGTCAGTTATTCTCTGATACATCTAAGGATGAAGACAGTGGAGATTTGGAGTCCAGCTTCATTGCATATTTTAAGAAGATTAAAACAGAAAACAAAATAATTTCTCAGGAAACCACCTGTTTAATACAATTTCATCTGAAAAGAGGAAACATTCAGGGGGCACACTCTGTAATCAGTGATGCATTAAAAAATATTGATAATGCCCCAATCAACATTGCTGTGACAGGAGAGTCTGGAGCAGGGAAGTCCAGCTTCATCAATACCCTGAGGGGGGTTGGACATGAAGAGGAAGATGCAGCTGAAGTTGGGGTAGTAGAGACAACTAAGTGGAGAACGCCATACAAACACCCCAAATTTAAAACTTTGACTTTATGGGACCTGCCTGGCATTGGAACTGTGAACTTTCCACCAAAAGATTATTTGGAGAAAGTGGAATTCCAAGAGTATGACTTCTTCATTATTGTTTCTGCCACACGTTTTACAAAACTTGAACTAGACCTTGCCAAAGCAATCAGATTCATGAAAAAGAATTACTACTTTGTGAGAACCAAGGTGGACACGGATTTAGACAATGAAAAGAAATCCAAACCACGGACCTTTGACAGAGAAAAGATCCTGCAGCAGATCAGAAGCTACTGTGTGAATACCTTTCATCAGAATAGCATGGAAGCACCAGAGATTTTCTTGATTTCTAACAACCATTTATCTGACTATGATTTTCCAGTTCTGATGGACACCCTGATAAAGGATCTTCCTGCTGAAAAGCGCCACAATTTTATGCTTTCTTTGCCTAATATCACGGAGGCAGCCATTGACAGAAAGCGCAACTCTATGCAGCAGACGATCTGGTTGGAAGCCTTCAAGTCTGGAATTTTGGCTACTGTTCCTGTAGTGGGCATCCTCAGGGATGATGTGGAGAGGCTGAAAGAGCAGTTAAACTACTATCAAGACCTCTTTGGAGTGGATGATGAATCCCTGAAATTCATGGCTAAGGAAGTGTCTGTTGAACAACTGAAAGAAATCATTAAATCTCCTTATTTGTTGGACACTAAGAAAGAAGAAACATTTGGAGAGACATTTTTGAAATATGTGGAGAAATTTGCCTCAGCTAATGGTGGGCTCCTTGCTACAGGTCTTTACTTTAGGAAAGCCTTTTACATGCACCTACTTTTCCTTGACACAGTGACTGAAGATGCCAAAGTTCTCCTTAGAGAGATGTTTAAAAAAAAGAACTAGTTAAAACTCAACTCACCCACAGCTACTAACCATGAAAACATCAAATGGTTAATACCAGGGAGTCATTAGATAAATTCCTGCTCCTGACATATTTTCTTTACACTACTCAATTGTTATAGACTATTATTTTAAGGTATGTTACTTTTGTTTATGTTGCATTTGTTTAACTCTGTGAAACTGTATTACTGTGCCTGTGTAAAATATCTGATGGTCTAATAAAGAACTGGCCAATAGCAAGGCAGGAGAAAGAATAGGCGGGGATGGAAGGCAGAGAGAATATATAGAAGGAGAAATCTGGGAGAGAGCTAGGAGACAGAGAAGGAGAAGGACTCCAGGGGCCTGCCACCCAGCAAGCCATGGAATAAGAGTAAGATTTACAGAAGTAAGAGAACGGGAAAAGCCCAGAGGAAAAAGGTAGATGGAATAAGTTAAGGAAAGCTGGCAAGAAAGAAGCCAAGCTAAGGCCAGCATTCATAAGTAAAAATAAGCCTCCATGTGTGATTTATTTGGGAGCTGCCCCCAAAAGAGAAAAAAACAACCAACAGCCAATCCACTCCCACCAGGGGAAAACACTTAAAGATAAGGGTCATGGGTCTTACTATGTTAGAACCTTACAATCCCCAATCTCTCTGGGTATGACCCCAGGCACTCACCTCTGGTCCAGATGGGCCGCCAGTTTGTATTTCTTGTAGAGAAGAGTTCCAAGTCATGAAAAAGACAAAAGGAAAGTAAAACTGGACAAATTAGAAATTATTTCAACCAAATATAATAGCTGGATTTACTGACATCTTTTGACAACAAAAATAAAACAGTCAAAGATTTATGTGATCATCAGAGCTTTGGCATTGATTAATCACTGATGTCAATTGTTCTTTATTTTTACTTATTTGCAGTTTGAGGAACTAGATGTATGTTGATTAATTTTCCATTCATTTGAAGGCACACACTAAAGGAAGTATTCACAGATGGAGAAGACATCTTGGATTTCATATAGAATACTCCAGCCAGGATAGATGAAACACAGTTGTTTATGTTTTGATAATTGCTAATGTTAGCTAAAAGACTTATGCAGATTTTTATATTACATTCCCTTTTTTAAGTCTTAATTTTTCCATAATTAAGGGTTTAGTTGAGAGCTAGCAGATACCTTTCCTGGTTTGCTTTCTATTGCTGTGATAAACAGCATGACCAAAAGGATTTTGGTAGAGAAGAGTTTTGGGGGCTTATACACTCTGATCTCAGCCCATCATGGAGGGAAGTTAGGGAAAAACACTCAAAAAGGAGTAGAGGCAGAAACAATGGAGAATGCTGCTTAATGGCTTGCTCTCCATAGTTGGGTCATTTGCTTTATTATACAACTCAGGACTACCTGCCCAGGAATGGTACCACTCACAGTGGCCTGAGACCAACCACATCAATCCTCAGTCAAGAAAATGGCCAATAGATTTGTCTGTGGTCAATCTGATGAAGGCAATTTCTCAACTGAGACTTCCTCTACCAAGAATAATCTAGTTGGTATCTTGTTGACAAAAAATAGCCACCACAACACCTATGGGAACTAGTCAACATCATAACATAACCGAGGCTACAGCATAGAGAACACAGAGCTAAGCAGAAAGGCATCTTATGTTGAGGTCCTTAGCTCACTTGAAGCAGATTTTTGTGCAGAGTGAGTGGTAAGAATCTAATTTGGTCTTCTACATGTAGCTATCCAGTTTCAGAGCACTGTTTGTTGAAGGTGCTCTTTTCTTTCAATTGATTTTTCTTTTGTGTCTTTGTGGAAAATCAGATGGTGGTAGTTTATGGCCTTGAAGCTGGGGTCTCTGCTCTATAGCATAGATGTATGAGTTTGTTTTTATGTCAGTACCATGCTGTTTTTATTACTATAACTCTGTAGTGTAACTTGAAATCAGGCATGGCAATACCTCCAACAATATGCTTCTTTCTCAGGATTGCTTTTGCTGTTGGGTTTCTCTTGTACTTCCATATGAATTTTAAGATGTTTTTCTAGTTCTATGAAGAAAGACATCAGAATTTTCACTGGAATTCCATTGACTCTGTAGGTAGCTTCCAATAAGACAGCCATTTTCACAATATTGCATCTTCTAATCCATGAGGATGAGAAATCTTTCCATCTCTCAGTGTCTCTTCAATGTCTTTCTTATATGCTTTGGTTTCATTGTAAGGTTTTTCATGGCCTTGGTTAGATTTATTCCATAGCACTTCTTTTTCTATATTTCTTTTTTAAAAAACTATGGTGAATGGGTTATTTCCCCAATTTCTTTTCCAGTTTGTTTGCAGTTGGTATATAGAAAGACTAGTATGCGTGTGTGTGTGTGTGTGTGTGTGTGTGTGTGTGTGTGTTAACCTCATATCCTGGCACTTTGCTGAAAGTTTCTCTGAGGGTGAATTTTGATGGAATCATTTTTTTCTGAAAAAAATAGTTTTTCATTGTTACCTTATGAGGAGGAGTAGACATTGCTTGGTCCACCCAAAAGGAGAAAATTGTAACAAAGCCATACACAAAAAAAGTAAAAATATTAGCCATACTTAAAGCTGTAGAGAAAAATCCCAACTCAAAAAGACAAATGTCAAAATTACATCAAATATCCTTAGCAACCATAAATGACAGAAAATGTGGAATGGTGTATTTCAAACCTGAAATCTAAACAATTGTCAGTTAATATCAATGTATCCACAAAGCTATCTTTTAAAATTGGCAGAAAAATAATAATGTTTTAATACAGGAGCAAATTCAGACAGTTATTATAAAGGGAAGGAGTCCTTGTGAAAGCACTAGAAAAACCAGGAGTATTATACAGGCAGGATTATTTCTTCAATGGAGAGATGTATACTGGTTTGTTACCCAGAAACCTGAGAATGGATATAGTTAATAGCCTGGTGATCTGGGCTATGTGTAGGGCCAGGTCACAATTTAAGCCCCCAGAATACTATGTTTGCTTATCTCAGACATTTCCTCCCTCAACTAAAGTGTGCCGTGGAGTCTATCTCCAAGGCTATACAAACAGGGTTCAGAGAAATGATCCACAGTGAAGTGAAGTAAGACTTAGGAATTTTTTTTTTTTTTTTTTTTTTTTTTGGTTTTTCGAGACAGGGTTTCTCTGTGTAGCTTTGCGCCTTTCCTGGAACTCGCTTTGGAGACCAGGCTGGCCTCGAACTCACAGAGATCCGCCTGGCTCTGCCTCCCGAGTGCTGGGATTAAAGGCGTGCGCCACCACCGCCCGGCTCAGGAATTTTTATCTGAGAGATATTTCTAGAACATCAAACTTTTGTCTGAAAGTTTTTAGAAATAAGTTTCTATCTCTCTGAGGGGGAAAAAATTCAGATATTTTCTGAGGGTAATTTTCTTTTTTTCTTCTTCAGCCCTAATTCTACAGCTTCTTTTCAGCTCTAATTTTTCTCAGTTCTAATACTTCTCAGCTCTCATCCTCTAACTCCTCCCTCCTCTCTCTCTCTCTCCCTCTCTGCTCTATCTACATTTTTAACAGCAGAGACTTTGCAATAATAAGAAAAGTTACAAAGTCCTCTCAAGGTCAATAGCACATTCCTTGAGAGACAATAAGGAGCAAACCCATTCACCATGGCAAGACGTAGGCGAGACATGGTGCATGGCACTTTCCCGGCTAGGAGCATCCACTGTTAGCTAGACATAAGGACTATTTCTCTTTCAACTTGATTAATTGATTAGCTGTTATTTGGAACCTAAATAACAAACAGTTACTTAATTGAAGCTTGAGTTTTATATCATAAACTGAGGTTAGAATGTTCATACCAAATATTAATTACTAAAGGGTCAGAACAGGTGAATGCTATGAGTCTTGTTATCAGCTGCTAGCAGGCGAAGCTCAGGGCAATTCAAGTCTCTGAAGGACTTTGATTCAACAAAGCCAGACACTTTGTAATTTCATCCTTGAGTCTAATCTGTGAAAGTCCTGCTTGTGATTTATCCACAGATAAATCTTTGTCTGGCCCAATTGCACTATCAGTAAGCTAATGATAGAGAACAGACTTCTAAGTTTCTCAGCATGATGTGAAACACTTGCTGAACTATGAGACCTTGTTTTATTTACCAGAATAACACAATGTGAGAAGTCATCCTCCTGACCATCCACAAATACATGTGCCCATAAGATTGAAATGTAATCCTGAGATTACAGGTACCCATTACATGAAAATGTGTGGCAATTGAGAGATACCATACCTGGTTTTGCACATGTGAAATTACAGACAGGAAAAGTGGTTTTCCAGGGTCCACATCCCTGCAGGTCCTGCCTGACAGGGTTCCTCCATCAGAGACCATTCTTCTAGTGTTTGACATCTGAACACTATTTGTCACCTGCTGTCCTTACATCATAGCCCATGACACCAGACCTTTACCTTGAGCACTGTTTTTAAGTCAATAAACATCCATTATTATGAGAGATGTCACATGTACTTTACAACACCCTAGGTAACTTCTGTCCTATCTGTAGGGCCAAGCTACTCCAGACTCCTACAGACTTTTATGTTTGTCTCAGCCTTTCTCCCTACACCCGTATCTTGAGCACTGTGTCTGAGTCAACAGAAACCATCTTTATAGAAGATGCCATATGCATTTTGTAAAGAGTTTCAATGTAAATATGACTTAAGTATTGTTGTACACATGGGACTGAGTTCATTATTCAGGACACTTTTTTCCAAACTTGTGCTGAGCTTAAATATGCCTAAAACACACTATCTGATGTCAGACTCTAGAAGGCTGAACCAACGCCAGCTACTGAGTCATGTTAAACCAGATTTCCTGCTTGCTTCACATGGACAATTACTCTGCCAGCCCTGCCTGGCCTTTGCAGTGACCTTCTACAAATTATGGCCATGAATATAGTATTGAAGAATATACCTAAATGAATACTATACACAGAGAAGAAAAGAACGGTCTCAGCCATGACAGCACACGGAAGAAAACAAGTCCATTACAGGAGCAGATGAACAAGAGAGACTTTCAGAGGAATGAATCATAGTGAACCAGCAAACAAAGTGGGGTGGCAGGGTTCATCTAACAAATTAGAGTAATAACCAAAAATAAAGAATTTAGCAAACCTCTCTCAATGGTTATCTTAAATGTATATTGCCTCAATTCACCAGTAACAGAATTAAGATTAGCTAACTGGATTAAAAAACAAAATCCAACTATCTTCCAGTTTCTAAGAAATACCTCAGTAACAAAGACACCTGCAGACTGAGGCTTACTTACACATCCATGTTTACTGATGCACCATTGTCATCAAAGACGCGTTAGATTCTGTAAACTTGTATGGTTCAAATGTTCCGTGAAACTTTAAACATTTAACAGTCAGTGTTCTTCTAACAAGTTGTATGAGATAGGAATACTTGCACTGTCTTACCCACTGAGTATACCTAAAACCCTGAAGAGATGCACAGAGCGGCTGACTGAGGCTCTGAAAGAAGGTACAGTGCAGTGTCCAGCCTTAGATAGAACATCTATTCCATACTCCTTCCACCCTCAAAGCTAAAGGAGCACAGCAAAGTAGAGAACAGGGAAGCTGTAAAAATCATCTTCCTTCCATGACAGGGCAGTTGTACTCTTGAGCTCATAGCATCTGTGGTTGCTGGAAAAAAAAATTAAAAACCCACACAAATTCAAACCAGTCAACACTCTGTCATGGTGATGCAAAGGGAAATGGAGCCCACTTTTAGCTATGGAGCCATAGGCAGTTGATAGATGCTGGGGGAGGGAGAATCAGTTTTCTTCAGTGGGAAGGCGCATAGTAGTCACCCTAGTCCCCATGAATGATACCTTCTTCACCCATGGGCACATGGGCAGCACTAGTTTGACTTAGTGGGCTATTGTCTCACTACCATGACTGCCCACAGGTGACCTGAGAAAGGATGATGGATAAACATGCCAAAATGAACAGGGAAAAGCCTGTGAGGACTCAACCCTACACAAAAAAATTATAGCCAAAATGAGGAAAACTGAGAGCAGGAGAGGTGGTCTTCCCCAGGGTAGAGCACACCTATTGGTTGTCCAGTATCAAATAGTCAGCCATGAAAACATACATACAGGTAAGATTATACAGACTGAACAGGTTACATTGGGAAATATATACATATATATGTACATATATGCATGCAATAACAATTAATTAAAGAAGAGACTATGAATTTGGGAGGTCTTAGAGGAAGAAAGAGGAAGAGAGAAATTTGAAACTAAATTATAATCTCAAAAAAAGAAAGAATAAAAGAAAGAAAGACCTGTACTAACAAGCCCATACCCACACACAAAGACAAATAATTTGAATATTATAAAAATAAATCTTTAATTGAATGGAAAGATGACTCAATAGTTAAAAGCACATACTTCCCATCCAGAGGTCGTGAATTCAGTTCCCAGCACCCACATGGTAGCTCACACTACCCATAGCTCCAGGACTTTAATCCCAGTCCTAGGAGGTATAGAAAGACAGTAGAATCTCAGGGCATCACTGGGAAGATAGTCTAGAAAATTGGCAAGCCCAAGGTTCACTGAGAAACTGCCTCTAAAATGGAGGGATGGAGTAGTGCCCCCCTGCTGAGCTCCTGGCCTGGTTCCAGAGAGCAGCAGCACCCAGCCCTCCTCCTTCCTGTGTTTAACCACACCTTTTGTTTCTCTTATTGCCCTATGTGAATCTTGTCTGAGAGTCAAGGATCAGAGAGTCCCCCAAGGATCAAAGGCCTATGCAAATCATATGCAACTGTGAACTCTATGAGCTAGAATAATGACTGGCCAGACAAGACATACCTACCAGTGTACTCATGGCAAAAATGTCTTGGGAGTAACCAACTGCTTCCTGATTGGATTTAATAGCTTAGCCACAAGATGAAACCTGTATCTGGGCTAGAACCTAAGGCTAGACAGATCATAGACCATGAGTGAGAATTATTATTATTACTCTGCTTAATGGACATAATATTAAGTCACCTCCTAATGAGTTATCATTATACCCATAGACTAAGGCATCTCTCAAGCCTCATCATGGAAGCTTGTGTTTGCAGTAGATGATGATCAGTCCAGAGACCCACAACTGGCCAAGATTCAGTGAACAAAACACTGAGGAATATCCAGCCCTAAATGGAAGATGTGAATTCTTCCTCAAAAGGCACAGGAATGGCTGTGGAAGAAGGGGTGAAAGGACTGTAAGAGCCAGAGTTGGTGGACGATGACAGGGAAATGGTGTCTTCTGGACACAGCAGGACAGCTCCTCGTATGAACTCACCATGATTGTGACAGCATGTGTAAGACCTGTTGAGCCCAAGCTGGACCAAAAGCCAGCATGGATAGGGTAGTTGAGATTGACAAGAATTAATGAACATGAATTTACAATCATGAGAAAATAAGGTTGTAGTCAGAAGGGAGAAAATGAGTATTGTCTTGAATGAGATTAAAACTGACATCTGCACAGGACTATAGACAATATTTTGTGTGATCAGTTCAACCTGCATTTGTGGAGTCAGGGATCAGAAAAATTATCTTTCAAGAGTTTGTGTTCCTGCTTATCTGTGATTCCCCCCCTGTTTCCAAGCCCCACATTCTACTCGTTTATTATCTTAGGACAGTCCACCATGTGCTGCCAAGGAACTAAGACATAAATAGAAAGAAAAACAGCCAATAGTTCCACTTTCTCTTTCTTCTTCTTGGAAAAGCAGGGATTCTGAAAAACAACATGATCCATAAGCTTTGATGATTGGCTGAAACACACTGAGGGGGAAGGGGCAGAAGGCAGAAGAGTGTATAAGTCCTGCAGAATTGCCTTAACCTGCTGCTTTCCATGGAAGAAGCAGAAGTGAGTGTCAAGTGAAGACTGGAGCACAGTGGAGCATGGTTCCTGTAGCTGAACTACAGTGAGCAAATCCACTGGACACAGTATAATCTGGTAAGTGGAAAGCAGTGTTCAGATCTAACTTCTAACCCTCACCATATCTTTTCTCATAAAAGCTAATAGGTAACAAGACAGTGGGAACATGCCCTGAGAGTGAGGGTTCTCAGTTTGGAAGCTAAGGAGCTTTGGTGGGAAGCAGACAGGACAGGCTTGTGGATAAAGTCTTAGCTAATTACTCAAGTTGAGGTAGACCTAAAGCCAATGATCTTGATATTGTTTTTTGGCAAACACATGATCAGTTTTTTTGACTTGCCTCTTATTTTTTTTTCCGCTAAAATGGTTGTGGATAGATGATTCAGGTAATGGACTATTTCTGCAGTGTGTATGAGGGTTGTTGTATCTGAAACATAGTGAAAGGATGGTGAATGATAGAGGCAGGTACATATTTACAATGTAAACATAAATCCTGAATCCTGCCTGACTGACGCAGAACTTAGAGAAAGGTGATTAACAGCCATGTGGCTACTGGGTAGAGCACAAAGACATGGAAGCCATCACAAAGTACCAAGTCCTGAGATGAGAAGACAGTCTGAGATAACAGGGAGGCTAGAACTCAGACACCATCGGCTTTAAACGTGTAATAATGGAGTTCAAAGGTGTGTTGTATGTAGTGTGTGCACTGGATACCTAGTGAATGATCCCTGACTGAAATAGGAATCCCTGTGGTGCCTCTCAGAATTGACTTGACATGGTATGACTTCAGTGTCAATGGGATAACTGTGGCTGTTTGATCATCCATGTTGTTGCAAGAACAGTCACAGGAAATATAGTAATGTCAATAACATAATCAAAGCTGGCATTGAGGAAGTCTTAAAGAAGATAATGTGGGAGGAATGATCAATTGTGATTGGATTTGGAAATAGACCTCTACTATACAAACTGATTTAATGTGGGTGAGACAGACAAAGGAGGCTCCATGGTGACAGTGGGGATTGCTGGGGTTTTTTTTCTTTTTTTATTATAAGAAATTTTCTATTCACTTTACATACCAACCACAGATCCCCCCATCTTCCCTCTTCCCATCCCCCAGCCTTACCCCAAGCCCCCCCCATCCCCACATTTCCCAAGTCAAGGTCTCCCATGGGGAGTCAGCAGAACCTGGCACACTCAGCTGAGGCAGGTCCAAGCCCTTCCCCGCTGTACCAAGGCTGTGCAAGATGTTTTCTTAACTGATGGTGAGGTCCATTGTGTTGCTATAGCAGGTCTTGTAGGTAGGTTTGTGGAGAACAAAGGGCAGATATGTGAGGACTGAGCTAGTTAAATACCCAACAATCAAACTCAGGTCCTTAGGCCTCGAAGCAAGTGTATTTACCTGCTGAGCCATCTTACTGGACTTGATATTCTTTTTTTTTTTTCTGAGACAGGGTCTCAAGTAGCCCAGGCTAGCATCTAACTCACTGTGTACCAAGAACGGCCTTGTAGTCCTTACCCTCTTACCTCTACTTCCTGAACACCAGAATTATGGGGATCTGCAAACACATGCATTTGATGAGGTGCTGGAGATTGAACCCAAGGCCTTATTCATGCTGGGAAAGCTCTCTCTACCAATTGACCAATATCTCCAGTGCACAGTTAGATTGCTTTCATAAAGTAAAATGTGTAACAGAAAACAGTGAATCTAAATGATGACTTGAGGACACTGAAATGTTGTATTGAAGAAATGGATTTTAATGTGGACTTTAAGGGTAAAGAAGGTTTTTATTATTGCTAGTTGATATTCCTCATGGAGAGGAGTTCCAAGTCATGAAAAAGACAGAAGGAAAGTAAATCTAGGAAAATTAAGAATCATTTCAAAAAAACACAATAGCTGTACTTACTGAAATCTTTTTTTCTTCTTTTTCTGAAATACTTTGAAAACATAAATAAAATAGACAAAATAGATTTATGTGATCATTAGAGATTTGGCATTGATTAAACACTGATGTCAAGTATCATTCATTATTTTGATTTTTCAGCTTGAGAAACTAGATGTCTGTTCATTAAGTTTCCATTCTTTTGAAGGCACACACTGAAGGAAATGTGCACAGATGGAGAAGACATTAAATTTCATATACAATACTGTAGTCAGGTTAGATGCAACACAGTTGTTCATGTCTTTATAGTTGTTGATGCTGGCTAGAGGACTCTTGCAGTTTTTTCCATTATTTTCTCTTACTTTACCCAAGTTTTAATTTTTCCATAATGAAGGGTTTAATTGAGAGCTAGTAGAAATTTGTTCTAGTTTCCTTTATTTTTTCTTTATTTTATTTTACATACCAACCAGAGTTTCTCCTCCCTCCTCTCCTCCTGTTCCCTCTCCCCCACCTCCTTTCTACCTCCCCCCCATCCACTCCTCCTCCCTCTCCATTCAGATGGGGTAAGGTCTCCCATTGGAATTAACAAAGCATGGCATATCAAGTTGCTGTAGGACTAAGCTCCTCCCCCTGCATCAAGGCTGAACAAGGCATCCCACCATAGGAAATAGGTCATGCATCAGGGACAGGTCCTGGTCCCACTGTTAGGGTCCCCACAAAAAACCAAGCTATACAACTGTCACCCAGATGCAGAGGGCCTAGGTCAGTCCTATGCGTCTGTCCAGTGTCTGTGAGCTCCCACAAATTCAGGTAAGCTGTCTCTGTGGGTTTTCATGTCATGATCTTGATGCCCACTTGCTCATATAATTCCTCCACCCTCTCTTCACCTGGACTCCCAGAACTTGGACCAGTGCTTGGCTATGGATTTCTGCTTCTGCTTCCATCAGGTATTGGGAATGAAGGTTCTATGATGACAATTAGGGTAGTCACCACTCTCATTACAGGGGAAGGCCAGTTCAGGCACCCTCTCCACTATTGCTAGGAGTCTTAGCTGGGGTCATCCTTGTGGTTTCCTGGGAGTTTTGCTGGCAACAAGCTTTTCCCTAATCCCATAATGGCCCCCTCAATCAAGATACCTTTTTTATCACTCTCCCCCTCCATCCTGCGTGCAACTCAACCATCCTGATCCCTCATGTTCCCATCTCCCCATCCACTCCCCTCTACCCTCCTCGTCCCCCGTTTACCCAGGACATCTTACCCATTTTCTCTTCCCAGGGAGATCCATGTGTCACTCTCAGGCTCCTCCTTGTTACCTAGTTTCTCTGGGGCTGAGGATTGTTGTCTGGTTATCCTTGCTTTACCTCTAATATCCACTTATGAGTGAGTACATACCATGTTTATCTTTCTGGTCTGGGTCCCTGCACTCAGGATGATTTTTTTTTCTAGTTCTATCCATTTGCCTGCAAATTTCATGATGTCATTGTTTTTAGCTGCTGAGTAATACTCCATTGTGTAGATATACCACATATTCACTAGTTTCCTTTCTATTGTTTTTATAAACTCCATTACCAAAATCAATTTGAAAAGAAAACAGTGTTTTGGGCTTACACACTCTGCTCACAGTCCATCACTGGGGGAAGTCAGGGCAGAAACTCTGCAGGAATACAGGCATGAACAATAGAAGAATATTGTTTACTGGCTTGCTCCCCATAGTTCAATGTTATGGAATAATCTTTTTGTACATTGTGAAGATGTGTCTTTGCAAGGCACCTTCTGATTAGTTTAATAAAAAGCTAAATGGCCACTATCTAAGCAGGAGAGATAGACAGGACAGCCAGACAGAGAACTCTGGGAGGAAGAAAGGCAGAGTCACCAGCACACAAAGAGGAAGCAGCATAACAGTACAGAGTAAAGGTAACCAAGTCATGCAAAAGAATGTAGACAAAAGATATGGGTTAGTTTAAGTTATGAGCTAGTTATAAACAAGCCTAAGCTATCAGCCAAGCTTTTATAATTAATAATAAGTCTCCATGTCATAATTGGGGAGATGGTGGTCCCAACAAAAAAGTCCAACTACAGTTAATTAATGCTTTCTTAAATTAGCCAGGACCACTGGCCCAGGGGTGTGCCACCCACAGTGGACTGGGACCATCCACATTGATCCTCAATATAGAAAATGTCGCCGGGCGGTGGTGGCGCACGCCTTTAATCCCAGCACTCGGGAGGCAGAGCCAGGCAGATCTCTGTGAGTTCGAGGCCAGCCTGGACTACCAAGTGAGTTCCAGGAAAGGCGCAAAGCTACACAGAGAAACCCTGTCTCGAAAAACCAAAAAAAAAAAAAAAAAAAAAGAAAATGCCCCCATAGGTGTGCCCCTAGTTCAATCTGATGGAGGCAGTTCCTCAAATGAGGTTTTCTCCTCCAATAAGACTATAGCTTCTATCTTGTTGACAAAAAACAAAAACAAAACAAAAAAAACACACACAAATACATGGAAACTAGTCAACATCAGAACATAACTGAGGCTGCAGCACAGAGAACACAGTGCTAAGCACAAAGGTATCTTCGGTCTCTTGCAACTCACTCTCCCTTTCTTCTTTCAGGGTCCTTTTTCAACACAGCCATGGGTCAGTTATTCTCTGATACATCTAAGGATGAAGACAGTGGAGATTTGGAGTCCAGCTTCATTGCATATTTTAAGAAGATTAAAACAGAAAACAAAATCATTCCTCAGGAAACCATCCGTTTAATAGAATTACATCTGAAAAAAGGAAACATTCAGGGGGCACACTCTGTAATCAATGATGCATTAAAAAATGTCAATAAAGTCCCAATCAACATTGCTGTGACAGGAGAGTCTGGAGCAGGGAAGTCCAGCTTCATCAATGCCCTGAGGGGGGTTGGACATGAAGAGGAAGATGCAGCTGAAATTGGAGTAATAGAGACAACTATGAAGAGAAAGCCATACAAACACCCACAAATTAAAACTTTGACTTTATGGGACCTGCCTGGCATTGGAACTATGAACTTTCCACCAAAAGATTATTTGGAGAAAGTGGAATTTCAAGAGTATGACTTCTTCATTATTGTTTCTGCCATACGTTTTACAAAACTTGAACTAGACCTTGCCAAAGCAATCAGATTTATGGGAAAGAATTACTACTTTGTGAGAACCAAGGTGGACACGGATTTAGACAATGAAAAGAAATCCAAACCACGGACCTTTGACAGAGAAAAGATCCTGCAGCAGATCAGAAGCTACTGTGTGAATACCTTTCGTCAGAATAACATGGAAGCACCAGAGATTTTCTTGATTTCTAACAACCATTTATCTGACTATGATTTTCCAGTTCTGATGGACACCCTGATAAAGGATCTTCCTGCTGAAAAGCGCCACAATTTTATGCTTTCTTTGCCTAATATCACGGAGGCAGCCATTGACGGAAAGCGCAACTCTATGCAGCAGTATATCTGGTTGGAAGCCTTCAAGTCTGGAATTTTGGCTACTGTTCCTGTAGTGGGCATCCTCAGAGATGATGTGGAGAAATTGAAGAAGAAGCTAAACTACTATCAAGACCTCTTTGGAGTGGATGATGAATCCCTGGAATTCATGGCTAAGGATTCCCAAGTGCCTCTTGAACGACTGAAAGAAATCATTAAATCTCCTTATTTGTTGGACACTAAGAAAGAAGAAACATTTGGAGAGACATTTTTGAAATATGTGGAGAAATTTGCCTCAGCTAATGGTGGGCTCCTTGCTACAGGTCTTTATTTTAGGAAAACCTTTTACATGCACCTTCTTTTCCTTGACACGGTGACTGAAGATGCCAAAGTTCTCCTTAGAGAGACGTTTAAAAAAAAGAACTAGTTAAAACTCAACTCACCCACAGTTACTAACCATGAAAACATCAAATGGTTAATACCAGGGAGTCATTAGATAAATTCCTGCTCCTGACATATTTTCTTTACACTACTCAATTGTTATAGACTATTATTTTAAGGTATGTTACTTTTGCTTATGCTGCATTTGTTTAACTCTGTGAAACTGTATTACTGTGCCTGTGTAAAATATCTGATGGTCTAATAAAGAACTGGCCAATAGCAAGGCAGGAGAAAGGATAGGTGAGGCTGGCAGGCAGAGAGAATAAATAGAAGGAGAAATCTGGGAGAGAGCTAGGAGACAGAGAAGGAGAAGGACTCCAGGGGCCTGCCACCCAGCAAGCCATGGAATAAGAGTAAGATTTACAGAAGTAAGAGAATGGGAAAAGCCCAGAGGAAAAAGGTAGATGGAATAAGTTAAGGAAAGCTGGCAAGAAAGAAGCTAAGCTAAGGCCAGCATTCATAAGTAAAAATAAGCCTCCATGTGTGATTTATTTGGGAGCTTCCCCAAAAAGAGAAAAAAACAACCAATAACAGCCAATTCACTACCACCATGGGAAAAACCTAAAGATAAGGGTCATAGGTCTTACTATGTCAGAACTTTAAAATCCCCAGTCTCTCAATTCTCTGCTTTCCTCTCTGACTTTCAATTCCACCTGCACACTTGAATACTCTCTCTCTCCCTCTCTCTCTCTCTTTCTCTCTCTCTCTCTCTCTCTCTCTCTCTCTCTCTCTCTCTCTCTCTCTCTCTTTCTCTCTCTCTCTCTCTCTCACACACACACAGACATACTCTCTCTCTCTCTTTCTCTCTCTCTCTCTCTCTCTCTCTCTCTCTCTCTCTCTCTCTCACACACACACACACACACACACACACACACACACACACACACACACAAAGATAGGAATAGGTGTTTTATAGCTATTTCCTCCTAATCAAAACATTCTAATGAAAACTCGGGAAGTTGGGGGCTCTGTGATCAGTGCATAAAACAGTTGCCATGCATGTATGAGGACCAGAGCTCAATTTCCAGAACCCACTTAAATGGTGAGTGGGTGTGGCATCCACCTTGTACTTCCACATTCAGAAGGCAGAGACAGTGGAACCATGAAGCAAGCTAGCTAGCTAGAGTGTGTATCTACAACCTCTTGGTTCAATTGAGACACCTGCCTTGATGAAAAAGACAGAAAGCAATTGAAGATGAGGTCCAACATAAGCCTCACATGCCCACACACAAGTGAGCATACACACCAGACAGACAAATTGAAAATATAAAATAAAATAATTCTTGGGAAGTAAATAAAAATCTCAAGACTTACAAAGTAAAGAAATATTTAAGATTCATGAAGTTCTCCTCAAGGTTATATAAGCAAGACGCATTCTGTGGGACTGGGGATTTCAAACCAGCTGAGGTGCCTGTAACTCATTGAAGGGGCTCCATGGATGCAGCTGTGGTGAATCACTGCCCTGCTGCTGGGGTGGGATTTTCAATGATGCAGCTGTCTTTAAGTGATCAATGTTTCTGTAAGCAACCCTCGCCCTAATAAAGTCACTCATTTGCTAAGCTGGACTCGGAAGACTTTTTTTGTTTTGTTTTGTTCTTATTCTGTCATGGGTGCCTATACAGGGTGAATAGAAATTTGTTGTTGTCTCTCCAAGAAAAGATCATACAAGACAATTGATGCCTTGAACAGGAACTAGAAGAACCAATGATGAGTTGATAGGACTGGTTGCATTGTCCTTAAGATGGGTGCTGATATATGAAAGTGAGACTGCCCACGTGATCACCCTCCTCAATCCTTGTGGTGGTTGGAAAGGAAATGCCCCCCACCCCCAACCCCCGCCACCGTAGACTCATAGGGAGTGGCACTATTAAGAGTTGTGGCTTTGTTGGAATAGGTGTGGCCTTGTTGGAGGAAGTGTGTCACTAGGGTTGGGCTTTGAGGTCTCAGATCTCAAGCCAGGCCTAGTATCTCACTCTCTTCCTGCTGCCTGCCAATCCAGATGAATAACTTTCAGCTACCTCTCATGCACCATGTCTGCCTGCATGCCTCGATGCTTCCCACCCTGATGATAATGAACTAAACCTCTGAACTCTAAGCCAGCCACAATTAAATGATTCCCTATAAGAGTTGCAATGTTCATGGCATCTATTCACAGCAGTAAAATCCTAATTATGACAACACTATACCCAGATATAGCTACATAGAAACTACAAAAAAAGGTAGATCTTGGTAAGTTGTTGGGACAGAGAATCCTGTCCATTGTCTGTAGTGGGGTGTACATGCAGCCCAACAGGGGGTAGGTAATGTTCTAGGATGGTAGGTGCTGTGGTAAGATTTGCAGTATAATGCATGCAGATGAAGGTCCTAGGTTGCCTAGTGCATTATCAGAAAAGGACTGTATGTTAAACGCAAACCAAGAGAAGCCCAGGTTGCTAAGCTATCCTCATGTGCTTGCCTGTCTGAAGGGGAGGACAGAGGGCAATAAAAAGTTCTAATACAACATTAATAAATTTACTGGCTCATTAGACCTGACATGGGTGGGATCACTTCTTTAGCTAGTCATTGTTCAGTTTCAAACCCAGGACAAGTGTTTAAGACACCTATTTAACATACCAAAGCTGAACCTGTCCACCAGGTTCTCCCAGGATCCCTCAGTCCCTACCTGTTAGAGGGTATGGCTCATATGCCCCACCCTCTACCCTGAACTCTCCAGCCCAAGGACTGGGCTGCCCTTCCGTCAAAGGCTCTTCCCTATTAATCCAGACATTTTGGTTATCCACCCCTTTTGGAACTTTGGCCTCCCAGCTTCTGTACCTGGTTTCCTCTCTCCCCTCTCCCTTCTCCTCTCTCTCTCCCGACATGGCCCAACTCAGTCTGGTCATGTCTGCTCTGGACTCTCCCAGATGTCTCTGCCTTTGACTGTGCCCTTCCTTTTATCTACAGTAAACTTTCTCCTCCACCATACCTAGGAGCAGTCATGGCCTTTGCTTTCCTTTCCTTTCCTTTCCTTTGTATTTCTTTTTTCCTTCAGTCATCAGTGTCCTATCTGATCTGAATAGACAATTCTTCATCTCTTCCCAGGAAAAGCCATATAATAGGAGAGATGGTTTGGCGTAAATAGACATTGTCACAATACTGAGTTTGCTGTCACAGGCCCTAGAAAGTAATCTGTACATTTTGTTTCTCTGTTGGGTGTGATGAAACACTAAACGTCAGAACACAGTCCATGAAGGAAGCTGTATGAAGAGATTTCTGAGAGCTTGTGAGAAAACTTCAAGTAAACAAGACAGGAGTCCTGTAACCTCCACTCCTCCATAGCATGGATCTGTTCTTGGGATGTGCTGTCATGCCCCTTTCAGGTGTAGTAAATGGGAGTGGGTTTACTTTAGATTACCCATCATCTGACCCATTATTATTCAGAATGATGTTTTCAAGCATGAGTTATCCTCCTGACTGTATAGAAACTAAACTCATGTGACCTTGCCTTTGTGGCTGTACATAACTTGAATGCAAGTGAACTTTGCTCACATGACCTTGCTTAACCACAGAATGCCCTCAGAATATAAACTGTCTCATGTCTTGAATAAAATTGGCTATTGTATGAGACTTTAGACTGCCTCATTTTTGGGGGGGTCACTATCCCAGGTTCTTGCTGCCAAATACAGCAGAAACATTAACCAAATCAACCTGAGAAAGGAAAAGATTCTTTTCCTGGCAGTTCACAGCCCATCATCGAGGGAAGACAACACAGGAACTGAAGGAGAAACTGTGAAGGAACACTGCTTACTGACCGGCTCTCCATGCCTTGCTCACCCTGCTTTCTCACACAACCCAGCACCACATTCCTAGGATGGCACTCACCACAGGGGGGCTGGGTCCTCCTACATCATTTATCAATCAAGAAAATGCCTCACAGACATTTGAACAAGCCAGTCTGATGGAAGGAATCCCTCAATTGAGAGTCCTTCTTCCAATGTGGTCCATGCACCTAATCACAGCACTCTGGTGATTCCCTATTACCAGGTATGATTATGTTCAGGTCAAAGCCTCCATCATATTTACTAGATTAATAGAGTTCCCCATATATCTACCACATTCTTCTCTTCCCATTTTCAATCATTCTTCTAGTATTGAAAGTTCCAGTACAACTGGGAAGGAACCTGCTACTACACAGGTTTGCCCGTCCTTTGGAATTGTTTGTTTGATTGTTTGGTGCTTATAGTAAAGAACATGGACAGTACATTTCAGAAAAAAAAAGAAAATTCTTATGAAACATTCTTAGAATGGGTGAATAAAGACTTTGTGTGCAATGGATTTCAGCTTTTGAAGATTCAGTCCAGGTCAGGGTTATTTGGAGAGGGTCCAGGTATAATATGGCCCACAGGAAGCCACGGCATCACTTTACCCTATTTGGAGGCAGAGATTGTTGGAGTTGCTGTGAGGTGACAGTCCTAAGCTCAGGGTCTCTGGCACCTAGGACTTAAGTTCATATAAACTCTTAAGACTCAGGAGAATATAGATAACATACACACAAGTCTGGGACTCAGACTTATTGCTCAGTAGCTCATTTCAAGACACAGAATGTGATAGGATCTTTGTCCCTGGGGAACAGAGCACAGCACTGGCATAGTTCTAACAGGAAAGGGATGCTCCAGAGACTCGTGCTCAGTAGAAGAGTACTCTATTCCAACATGAGTCATAGTTGCCAACAGATAGTATTTCAGGCCCCCAGTGATTAGGCATGATGCAGTAGTGACTCTGGACCCTGGGATAAAGGGACATGGCAGTCACTAGGCTCTTTAAAGCCAGTGGATAAAGTAGAAGAAAATAAGCTGGAAATGGCAGGTTATAGTTAGGCCTTGAGTCTGGGGGTTATGGGACAGTGGTCATAGTTTAGATGCCAAGATTTTTGCAGAAGAGGAAGGCAAGTGTTCTTCCCATGGGCACCTGGTCTTTGAACAAATCCTCAGTCAGTAAGACTGTTGATAACTCTTCTTCCTCAGCAGCCTGAGTAGCACCTTCCAATACTGTGAATGCTAGCTATAAAGCAAGAAGCTTTCTGGTCAGTAACAACTATTTCTATGTCCTGTGACCAAAGTATACGACATCTTCATTAACAGAATCTTAGCATCACATCCTGGTGTGGAATCAAGAATAACATCAGTAGCCTGTATTGTTTTTAGGCTTCTGGGAACTGCCTGATCAAACCTTTGGAGCAGGTATCACACTCCTGGCACTTTCTGTTTGATAACTCCAATAGCTATTCTTGATTGTCAGCTTGACCATGTCTGGAATGAACTACAATACAGAAATGAAGGGCACATCTGTGA